GGGGGGGGTGATTTCCTGTCAGCATGTGGGTTGCGCTCGTTAACTACAAACATAGGATTTGGGACTCCGATTCGTAGCTGATGGTGCTAACTATGCACTTAGGGGAGGTGCTTTCATCGCAGCAACTGTTTTTGTTTGCCCATCACTTTACACGTATTCACTTCACACTCACTTCAGTTCCACTCCTCAAAAACTGCTGCTGCCAGCTACGGATACTACCTCACTTCGCACTAGGGAGGGAGTGCGGTGACACTGCAACGATTGCTGCCCTTCCGACAAAAGTAGGTTGTTTTTGCAAGTCTCTACTAAATGCAAGAGTAACCTGTTGGCGGTGCCCATTTGCCTTGTAAGTTTAATCGCGCAGCAGGTCGGTCTAGGACCAACCTTAGCAGAGAGTGAAACGACATAAGTTATGTTTCATGTCCCTCTATAATGTTGCGACTTTGCTGCTTAGGGATATGCACGCGCTCAAACTTCAACTTGCCAGTCAAATGGCGCCGGTCAGGTTGTCACCGATTCGAGGTCTACAGCCTTCTCTCCTGTAAGCCTCACAATAGTAGGTAGACAACGGCCTACCGGGCGCTATACGGCTTGATGTGGCCATTTTGTCGCGCTAGACAACCATTGCAAGCACCGTTATAACTAGAATAGCCAAGCATTGCTAGACTCAACCGGTTTCGGCGAAGCCTTGCTTTTGTTTCGTCTTTGCATTGACAAACTGTCAGGGACAATTTGGAGTCAAACACCCTGAACAACACCTAACGGATGCTACCCTGTGAGTAAAGTCCTTTGTGAAGCTCTTCGTCAAAGATCCGAGTCGACAACGCTGAGTAGCTAGACAGTACCCAGGCTGCCACCCAAGTGGTGGTCCTGGATGAACACATAGAGTACAGATGTACAGTGCCTAGGACTTAGGGTAGCGGCGTTTCACTCTTTTTCACGTAGTCCATGGGGCTTGCACGTTTCAACAAGTTTCAAGAACGCTCAAAACGCAAAGTGGGGCTGGTGAGCCTGTCGAGACAATTTGGCCGGTCAGTGCATAGCCTGCAACCCACCTGTCTGAGATTGATGCATTGCTGCATAGCCCTAATGGCGGCTGCTTCCTTGGCCGTGCCTTTTTCGAGTCACTGCCATTTGGGCTGATACACACTGCTGCCCCCCCCTTGCGGGGGGGCAGCCACAGCCATGCCCCTCTCCTGTTTGGTGAGTTACATGTCTTGGTCCTCGAGGACTTGTCGTTTTCGATTGCCGACACTGATATTTTCCTTTTGGCAAAAGTCTCGTAGCATGCTTGGCTGCACTTCGCGCTCTCTCACTGCATTTTCCTCGGGATTTTGATCACAGTGAGTCGGTGGTGAAACAGCTGGCCTCCTGACTCGAATTCTATCGTTGTGAGACGATTGTGCGAAATCAAAGTATCTGTCACTTCGGTGTCAGTGCATGACATTCCGGACCTGTTGCCTGCAAGACTGTGTACTTGGAAGTAAGGCACATAATTGCAAAGATGCAACCTCAGGTAGTTCGGGTACACTCCTATTTCCTCTGCACATTCTTGGGTGCCTTTCGCACACATTGTGGCTGATCACGATAGCCAAGCAGTCAACTCACTGCCCACTGTGAGGAATACCTCTTTTGCCTGACCTAGACGTACTGAGCGCAAAGAGTGGAATGAATTCATTGCCCCGCTTCACCGCTTTTCACTTTGTTTTGCTTTGGCTCACGCAGCCTACCTGAGATACGAACCTTGCCGCTTTGGGTGTTTGGGCTTTTTGTTTGGTTGGGTTTGGCGGTTGTGGTTCGTTCTTGGTCTGTTGCTTGGCTCGTATCTCCCTATTTAATTGAATTAAGGTGACTTGTGCCTCTCGGCGCACATAGCGCCTCCACCCGTGCCAAAAAAACCCAGTTCCCTGTCCCAAGTTCCCTGTCCCCAGTTTGCTGCCCCCAGTTCCCTGCCCGCCAGTTTCCTGCGCCAGCCAGTTCCCTGTCCCCAGTTTCCTGTCCCAAGTTCCTTGTCTCCAGTTTGCTGGCCCGCCCGTGGAAGGTCTGGCGGTTGCGCTGGTGGTCGGGTGTGGTCGCCCGTGGTCGCCGCTGGTCGGCTGCGGCACTGTCTTGTTGTGAATCGCAGTAGATCTCGCTCTCTTTCCTGAGGGTCTGGGCGGTTGTGTTGTCGCCGGTGGTTGTGGTCGCCTGTGGTCACCGCTGGTCGGCTGCGGCGCTGTCTTATTGTGAATCGCAAGATCTTGGAGGGTCTGGCGGTTGCGTTGTGGTGGTAGATCTCGGGTCTGCGGTTGCGTTGTCGCCGGTGGTCGGCTGTGGTCGCCTGTGAACGATAGTACGCGGAGCAGCTGGGGAAGATGAGAACTGGCAGCTGGCTGAGGCATGTGAGATAGGAAAGAAGAGAGCGAAGAACATTCCATGTTCCACCGATATCAACAGCATTCCACATGGCTATGAGCTCAGCAACGCAGATTGCACTCGCTTCAGAAGCTGTGTTGGCAAGATGATGTAAATTAGTGGTGAGAGGCCGGATGCACAATATGCTATTCACATGTTGGCACGCATGATGAGCAAGCCTATGAGTTCACAAGTGAAACATGTGACACACCTCACAAGCTACCTTGCATGTCAATCCTGGACCGCAGAGACATTGACGAGATCGAGTCCCAGGACTATCACCTCATTGAAGTGATCACAGACGCGGACCTAGCAGGCTGCAAAAGCAGTCGAAAGAGTTTGACGTGTTTTCATATTTTCCTTGATGGATGTTTGATTGAGAGCAAGGTTCAAAGCCAAAAGGCCATTGCATTCTCGAGTGGTGAAGCAGAGTTTACTGCTGTTGTTGGTGGATGTTCAGAGGCTTTGTTCGTGAAGCACGTGGTTGAATTCATGACAAGCGAAAACACCATGGTCAAGGCGAGGAGCGATTGTTCGGCAGCACGCTCCATGACTGCACGACAGGGTGTAGGACGTGTCCGCCACATCGACAGTGGCGTGATGTGGATTCAAGAAAAGGTGGCCAGTGGGAAGCTGGAGATCACAGCAATTCCGACTTTGCTGAATCCTGCTGACATTGGCACGAAAGGTTTGAGCCAGTTCCGACTCCATGGCCCACATTTTGTGTTTGGTCGATGAGTATAACATCGAGATCGGGTACGACGAGTACAAGGAGACTGAGATGAACCTCGAATGGTTGATGAAGGACCAGACGAGCCCAATGGTCGAAAGCCAAGGACGAGCAGCGCAAACAGATGAAAGTGATGACCCACACATAGTTTACAAACTGTATCAAGCGATTGACCAGCTGCATGACCAAAAGGACAGCTTGGAGAGACGTCTTCAGGCACAAGAAGAACTGAGTGTGGCAATGGAGAACGACCTTAGGTTTGAACGGCAACAGAACGCCGTCTTGTCGAGTTCCGTGCGAGCGCACGAACGCAGATGGTTAGCCAACCTTGAAAGGATGATCACAGTCCATCCTTGCGGGGACGTATTTCACGACAGTCCCAATTGTCGTTGGCTGCGTGGTGGTGGAGCTGCAACTGTGTGCATTTTGCCGCAGAAATCCCCGAGGACAGGAAGGCAGCACGACAATTTCTCATGAGGATGTAATAGATGGATGACAGTCCTGTTCTCGTGTGGTTGTGCACTTAGTGTTTCCGCAACATTCAGGCTCCGTTTTGTGAGTGAAAGGGCGCCGCGCGCTTCGCTACACAACGAGTAATGTTGCAGGCAGCTATGGACGGAGCAACTCCATCAGAAGGACCATCGAACCGAAGGCTCAAACCAGGAAACAGGGAACTATCAATCAGAGCACAATATCAAGTAGTCAAGTAGAGCAAACCAGCCAAATGTGTGGTCGGCTTGAAACACAACTTCAGCAATTCATGGAAAGACATTACAACCTACTGGGAAGAGGACTGCAGGAAGCAGCAGGACGAGTTGAAAAAACAAGGAAAATTATCAAGAGTTGCTAGAATGTGCAGTGATGAAAAGAGATAACCCAGAAAGGCAAACACCAACACCAACAATCTCTGGGAACCCGGTTCCTTAGAGAAGGAAGAGAAAGTTTGTAGAAAAATATTGGAATAAAATGGACTACAGTGGCAGAGTGAGCTCAAAGTAACAATTCGATCGCTCACACTACCAAGAAGGAGTGTGAAACATTTTCAGGGTAGACTAAAGCATGTATACATGACATCATTAGCGTTTCACTCTGTACAGCTGACTGGAACACAGCCCTTTTGGATCAAAAACGACTTGCAAAACAGAATCTGAGTGCCTCTGTCTCTTTATAAACCCTCTGTGAGATACAGCCATGAGTTGCCCATGACAAATAGACCTGCAGCTTTTCGTGCACGCAGATTGACGTGGGAAGTGTCGTCATTTCGAGGAAGTTTGGCAGTGAAGATTTATAAAGAAAAACCTACTCTCATTGTAATCAATGTTCTGTCTATTCCTGTGGTATTTACATATTTTAGTCACGCACAGATGACAGGTCTATGTAAGTGATTACAAAAACGATTTGACAAACAATGTTTTATAGCCGTGGTGATGGGACAAGTGGATTTTGCATGCACAAATCTGGATGAAACTAGCACATGGTCTTTGCGGGACAATCCTTGCTGCACTTTGGCTGGCCTTAGTGATTTCCTACGTGGCTGCACCATGCAAGTTGATTGAGGAGCACATGTACACTATGGCCTTGTTTGCCTGTCAAAGTTTGGATAGCTTTCCAACTGAACTGCCGACCTTGACATTAGTATTCTTCTTGGTCCTGTGCTTGGTACTTGTACCAGGGACGGTCGTACAAGTCTCCGCCGTGAGGTGGAATGTCATGCTTCACAGTGTTGGTGTCGCTACACTCGCAGCTTGCATTTTGAAAGTGTGCCTTTTGTATGGCGAATCCCGATCACTGCTGAAGGACAGTTTGGTGTTCACAGGGATCGTCACAGGAAGAGCCGCAGCTATGTATCTGGGCATGCTGTTGCTGGCCATCTCAAGACGGTCCATCATTTCAGATCGGTGGAACTTGGACTACCCAAACATGATCGCTTTTCACAGGCCCGTTGGGTGGTGGGTGCTGTGGATGAGTTTGCTCCACTCATTGGCATTTGGATTCTATTACTTATGCCGTGGCGGTTGGAGAGAGCTTTTGGAGGCTTGCCTACCAGTTGCTGTGCGCTGTGATGGTTCTGATCACTGTTGGAACACCTTGGGCCTTGTCAATGGGTTTGGTGTCGTGGCAACTGCAGCCACCATCATCCTGGCGGTCTCCTCCCAGAAAGTGATCCGTCGACGTTTCTACAACCTCTTCTATTTCACCCATCTGGTGACATCCTTTGTCTTCATGCTGTTCTGCGGTTTGCATGATTTTGCCATGGTGATTCTCATGTTTCCTGGACTTGTGTTCTACGTGAGAGATCGCTTTTCTGGCCTTGTTTCCTTGCGCGGCAGCACCGAAGTGACAATCAACATCTTGTGCCGCAGTGAAACTTCATCTTTGGTCATGTTCTCCTGGTATCCTGCCGAGGGAAACAGGGGATCCCATCTTTTGCCCGGCACTCGTTGGGTGTATTGTCGGCAGAAGACCATTTCCGGTTTGGAATGGCATCCCTATTCAACCATTTTTCATGGAAACCGGGCGTTCATTTTGTTGAAGGCTGCAGGTGATTGGTCAACCTCACTATGCAATTCGGCCACCAGAGATACATTGAGACTTGACATCGAAGGTCCATATGGCAAGTCCAGTGACAGTTCTGGGCGGCTTGGCTCTGGGGATCAGGTGCGTACACTGTTGATCGCAGGCAGGGATCCTGAGCTTTTTGGGGGGGTTCCATGGACATAGGGGACCCCCAAATCATCTCCCAATTTCGTGATGTGCAAAAAAGGAGAAGAATAGAATACAAAAACTGTTGAATCTCAGTCAAAGTTCACTATAGACTAATGGCATGCTGGTATGCATAGATCACGCTATGTACTTGAGGCCCAAAGTCGAGGTGTAAAACCGGAGCACCCCGCGTTTCATGGTAGCGGAGCTCTGACATGTAGCCCCTGTCAACTCCAGCAGAGACCCTTTTGGGGGACAAACCACCGGGGAGTGTGCGGTCCACCGAAAGCCCGGGTGGACTAGTATCCGGGTCGTGTTCATGGGGGACACTGCGGAGCCCTACGGCACTGGTGGGGCGGCTGGAGCACCTCCTGGAGGTGCCTTGACAGGAGTCCAGGGGCTGGTGCAGGCACTACATGGCCTGATCGATGTCCAACGGAGTTCGGGGTTCACAAAACACTTGAAACCCCCATCGATGTTTGCCCCAGAGAACCGTGGTGACGAGCTCAACAAATGGATGGATTGGAGATTCCAGTTTGAGACCTTCGTAGGAGCAGTTGACCCATCCATGCTGTCCCACATGAAGAATGCCGAGAAGGAAGAAGCCCCCATCAACGATGGACTTCCTTCAGTCAGGCCCCAGTCGGAAAGGCTGTACTCCCTCTTGACAGGCCTCATGAAGCAGAGACCCCTTCGACTGGTACGAGGTGTGACCAACCAGAACGGTCTTGAGGCCTGAGTGATCACCAAGGATCTTCAGCCGAAGACGAGGCAGCGCTCTCTAGCTCTCATCCAGTCCCTGAACAAGATACAGTTTGATGGGACGAAGACCGTGACTGAGCAGCTGCCACAGTATGACTTGATGGTCAGGGAGTATGAGCGCAGTGCAAACGTCACGTACCCGGACGACCTGAAGATTGCCTCGGTGTTGTCAGCCTTGCCTGCCACCCTCAGGCTTCACATACAGATGACGCTGCAGGACGACACTACGTTTGAGGACTTGAGGCAGCGGATTGAGATGTATGGGCAGGTGAGCCAACGATGGTCCAGCGATGGTGGCCTGCAGATGGGTGTGAAGCCTTTGATGGACCAAGGTGATCAAGGAGGACCCATGGAGATCGATGCCGTGTGGTCGAAAGGAGGCAAGAAGGGTGGCAAGAAAGGGAAGAAAGGCAAGGACAAAGGAAAGAGTTCACTTCCTGGTCCAAAGATGGAGGCAAGAAGGGCGGCAAGAATTCGAAGGGCTCAGGAAAACAAGATGGCAAGAAAAGCAAAGGTGGCAGTGGAGTATGTCACAACTGCGGAAAACCCGGGCACTTCGCTCGGGAATGTTGGAGCCCAAAGCGTGTGAACAAGGTAGAAGATCAAGAAGGACAAGAGTTGAGCAAGGCTGCATCAGCTGGACAACATGGCAAAGATCAAGGCCAGACGAGTGGGGCGTCAGTCACTCCATCTTCCCACTCCACCTATAGGGCAGGAGTCAGGAGGGTGAGATTGGTCACGCCGACCGGGTTGGCCACGATGGAGATCTTTGACCTGACGAAGGACGACTCTCCTGAGGAGCTGATGGCGGAGGATGATGATGAGTCAGCCTTGCAAGTGATGGCAATCCGGAAGTGTGACGAGATTCCGGATGAGGTGGAGGAGATCTTCTACGACTGCCAGAGCGGTGATGAGAGCACGTCATTGCGGACTCCATCGATGGAAGACACAGGAAGTGATGCCCTACGAGCCCAATCCAAAGATGTTGAGGGCCAAATTCAGAATTTGTGCATGGTGAGGAACGAGGCTCCCAATGTCGTGATGACGCTCGATTCGGGAGCAGATGTGTCAGTGGCACCAGAGCAGTACTACGCCCTGGGACTACCTGGTCATCAACGTTCCACTTGCATGATGGATGCTCAAGGAGGTGCCATCAAGAGCGCCGGAAACAGGCGACTTCGACTACAAGCCTACACCAGAGCAGGAGAGATGGTGGAGTTCGTGGAGCAGTTTGCTTTGGGTGTAGGTGTGACTCACCCCTTGATGAGTTTTGGACGTCTGCTCAAGCAAGGATGGGTGCTCTCTCGAGACAGCCAAGGCCTCTACGTGGAGCACAAGGAGAAGGACTTGAAGATCCCAGCTCGGCTTGAGAGGAATTCACTGGTGATGGACGTGAGAGTTTGTGCAGTCCGAGCTGAGGACAATGAGACGCAGGAGATGGAGGCCATGGCTTCGAATGACAAGGACATTCAGGAGAGTGCCCCGACCGTGACAGCAGAAGCACACTCCATGGAACGAGGAGTGAAGAGGAGTGTCGAGGAGCAAGAGAAAGAGAAGATGAATGAAGAGGAGGATCAACAGATGTTGGCTTTGATGCAAGAACTGTCAAAGCAGGTGGAACCCGATGCCCCAGAAGATCGTGTTGAGGAAGCTCCTTCAAGGGTGAAGAAGTTGAGGGCAGCCAGAGATCACCGGGCTACACTACAGAGGAGTCCGGAGATGTCATTGTGGAAGCCAGCAGCAGTGAAGATGGAAAGGTGCAAGCCTGCATGGCGAGGTGGCAGAATTGGAAGCTGCGGAAGGGCATGGTGAAGGACGGACCTATGGAGCTGTCGGACAGCCCAGTGGTGGATGTGATGGAGGACAATCATGTGTTCCCGGTTCGAGGAGAAGCAACGAGCCTGTATGGATTTATCTCGAGAGAACTTGCGTTGCTCGAGAAGATGCCTGGCTGGCACGCTCTACCCAACGGGATCGTCGTTCACTCCAGTCCTCAGGCAACTCATTTTCTGGACCCAAGCCTTTCATTTGGTCCAGAGTGGTGTGGACGGATGACGTTGTTGAAGAAGAAGGACAACAGTGGAGCGCGGGAGCAGGTGGAGAGTTTGGCAAACTATGTGGACACTCCGTTGCCATACCGACCATTGCCGGGAGGACCTCGTGCGGCGTTGACCTTTGTTGCACCGGGATTGATCCGTGACTACTTTGTGGTCAGCTCTGAGGTCCCAGTGAGCCAGTACCCCTTGCTGAGCGGGGAGCCATCCTCGTGGCCGGACGATGAGAGGGATGAAGAAGGAGGTGAACTGCCAATGTTGGCCGCTGGAAGTGGTGGACGACCAGAGATCTTGGAAGATGCTGCCTTCATAGACCCCAACGAGCTGAGGATCCAGATAGACGAGACCTGGTTTGACAAGGAGACGAAATTGAAGGACTTGCAGGAAATTTGCAAGCAATTGGGCTTGGCAACATCTGGCTCCAAGATCAAGGTGCTGCGGCGACTTCAAAGCTACAAACACCACCAGGAGGAGAAAATGGCCTATGAGATCGCCCAGAGGTTGTTCAGTGAGAGCAGGCGAGAAGCCATTCCGTTGAAGGCACCAAAGCTACCAAGCCGCCACGAGCAAGAACTTCATCAGCTCACGCACCTACCCTTTCAGTCTTGGTGCCAACAATGTGTCGCCACTCGGTCGAGAGAAGATCCCAGGAGAAAAGAAGATCAAGCTGACCGGAAAGACCGAGGAAGACCCGTGATAAGCTTCGACTACGGGTTCACGTACACCACTGGTGTTCCCAAGGATCGACAGTGGGGCACGGCTTTGTATGTGGCAGAGTCAGAGTCCAAGGCCACCATGTGCATCCCGGTTCAGGCAAAGGGGAGTGCTTCGTTGAAGCAAGTGACAGAAGAGCTCACCAGACTCAGCATGCAGGTCTGCAACACACAGCCCATCATTTTCCAGTCCGATGGAGAGAGAGCCACACGTCAGATCCTGAGAGCCATCCAGCGTGCACGGGCCACACTTGGCCTGACCACCGAGATCAGAACAACGTCTCGGGATCAGCGTGCATCCAACGGCCAAGCAGAACGGACAGTGCAGTCAGTGAGGTTGGCAAACACTCTGCCAGTTTGCCGAGGAGAAGACTGGAGTCAAGCTGACTGGAGATATGCGCTGCTACCCGTGGAGTTTCCGACATGCTGCATGCCTAATGCTCAGGTATCGGGTGATCAATGGAGCCACGTCCTTTGAGGTGCTGACGGACAGGCGCTATGTGGGCAAGGTAGCTCTCTGGGGAGAAACGGTGCTCTTCAAGGATGTCACAGCCTTCAAGCACAAGGGTGAGCCTGTGTACAGGAAGGGAGTATGGGTCGGAAAGAGTTCCTGGAGCGACAGCCACATTTGTCTGACAAGGAGTGGTGCAGTTGAGGCTCGATCCATTCGAAGACTGCCTGATCAGTTTGATGGCCAGATGCTGATCAACTGCCGAGGTCTCCCATGGCAGTACTCCGTGCAAGGCATCCTCATGAAGACGAAGTTTGCAGCACGTCAACGACTGGCAGAAGCAGCAGAGGATGCTGTCGGTGACGAGCAGGTGGAGAAGGAGGCCAAGCTGATCGGGGAACAAGTGGCTGTTGGCATGTATGGCCATGGGCCCATTGCAGGACCAAACACACCAGGTGTTCCTCCAGATGGGTACCCCAAGACTCCAGGCAAGACACCCATCGCTCCAACTCCGGCACCAAAGACGACGGCAGCGCGAACACCAACCATTGTGCCGGTTCCAGCAACACCAGCAGCTGCAGCAGCACCCAAGACAGCACGTCCTGCACCTTCAGGTGACAAAAGTGACAGGCCTTTGGTGCCTCGAGAGCTCCCTCGAATCCCGCTGGCATCAGAAGAGGACGAGAGCCCAAAGAGGAAGGTAGTGAGACTTCCAATCCCTGAGGCCATGAGGGGTGAGCCAGCGCGGAACTTTCCACCAGGACCTCACGAGGTGGAGACAAGTCCGAAGAGGCAGAGGATGGAAGAGGTCATTGGAAACCTTGCACCAGTGACACCTCCCCGGGGAACGGATGAGCCCGAAGAGGAGAATCCATGAGATGGTGGCCGAGGAGGTGTTGCAACAACAGCTCAACGATGTCAGCGATGACGAGGACATCGACAGAAGCAAAGGAAAACCTCCTGAAGTTGATGAAGAGGAGCTGAAGAAGCTAGATGCGGAGGCATGCAAACACGAAGAGGAGCGCCTCGAGAAGATGGGTGTCCTTGAGAAGTTGAGAGAAGGAGAAGCTGCTGATGAGGATTCGTATGTCCTGACTTCCAAAATGGTGATCACCTGGAAGCACCGAGATGAGCAGGGTGGCTGGTTCAGAAGGGCACGTCTAGTTGGGAGGCAGTTCAAGTGGTCAGTCTTCACACAAAATGCTTTCGCCCCCACATCAGCTTCAGTAGTGGTACGAATGCTCCTCCGCCTGCAGATGAAGACTGGTCTGGCTTTCTACACCTTGGACGTGAAGGATGCATTCTTGCTCATGGACCAGCCGGAGGACGAGAAAGCGATGATCGTGACCGAGAACGGCGCCTACAGGCTGAAGAGAAACCTCCCAGGCCAGAGAAACGCTGCAGCTCAATGGTTCAAAGGGTTCTGCAAGGTGGCAAAAGAGTTTGGGTTGGTACAAGACGTGATGCAGCCCACGATGCTGAAGAAGCCCGACGACTCAGGTGAGGTGATCAAAGATGGCCAACTGTACTTGACTATCCACGTGGACGACTTGCTGTTGATTGGTCATGAAGATGAAGTGGAGAAGTTCATCAAGTACATGGAGTCCAAAGGCTGGAAAACGGAGAAGCGTGGGCCATTGTATTCAGGTAGCTTCAACTACTTGAAGAGGGAGATGGAGTTGATTGACAGAGGCATCACTATCCGGCCCGACAAGCAGCACATCAAAGAGCTCGCACGACTGACCAAGGTGGAACAGAGGAAATGCAGGTCGACTCCCGGAGACGGCAACTTCACCAAGTTGAGCAAAGAAGATGATCCTCTGGACTACAACGAGATCACCGTCTACCGGAGTGCTGTTGGCGAACTGCTCTACATTGCCCCTGATCGACCTGATGTGCAGTACATTGCCCAAGGTCTAGCAGCATTCATGCAGAAGCCCACAAAGAAAAGCTGGCAGGCCATGAGACACGTCAGATCGTACCTGTTAGGTACTATGGATGAAGGCCTTCTGTTCGAGCGTGGACCTAAAGGCCGAAGCATGCTGAACACTGAGGAGAATGTCTACGAGTGGGACATCAATGACGATGTGACGGGCATGCTTGAAGTGGTATGTGATGCTGACTATGCAGGGCAAAGAGACAGCAGGAAAAGCGTGAGCTCGGTCCAGATCTACTTGGACGGATGCCTCTTGGAGAGCTATGTGAGGACCCAACGATCCATTGCCTTGTCATCAGGAGAAAGCGAGTATGTGGCAATGGTTGGAGGCTGCATCGAGGGACTGTTCATCAAACATTGCTGGAAGTTCCTGACCAACGAGGACCTGGAGATGGTGTGCCGCAGTGATTCGTCGGCGGCTCGGTCTTTGGCTGGCCGAGTGGGTGTCGGGAGAACACGACACATCGCGGCAGGACTCCTATGGTTGCAACAGAAAGTAGGAGCCAAAGAGTTGAGGGCCACTGGAATCCCTACGGCAGTCAACACGAGTGACATCGGCACGAAGATCTTGAGCAAAGCAAGGATGAGCGGACTGAAGTACCTTATCAAGATGATCAACGGAGATGACGAGAAGATCGGGTACGCCGAGTACCAGGAGATAAAGATGAAGGAGGACCTGAAGAAGAACACCGGCAAGCTAGCCAAGACCCTCGGAGCAAATGCAAGGGTTGCAGTGGTGATTGCATTGTCCCTACTGCAAGGTGGAGCTTGAGACAGAAGAGAATGAGGGCACGGACACATGGTGGGTTCGGCTGCTGATCACTATGATCTGCCTGGCAAGTGTTGGGGCCTTGAGCTTGGCACGGATGACTTTGCAGACAGTGCAGACATGGTGCAGCAGGAGACGAGGTCACCAACAACCCGTGCAACGACAAGGAGAAGATGAAGAAGAAGATGATGCGGATGGCCCGCATGTGAGAAGGGGATTGCAAGAGGACACCAGCCAACATGAAGAGCCACACTACGAGAATGACCCCGAGAAGGTGAACATGCAGTGGCAAATAGTCCACCTAGAGGTGGCTGTGGCAGAGCAAGAGGAGAGATTGAAGGAAGCCCGAGAAGAACGTGACCGTCAAGCACGTGAGGTGGTGAGAATGTACAACATGTGCTCTGAGCTGCGATTTGAGCTCGAGGCGGTGAAAGAAGAGAGGGACAAAACCCAAAAGAAGGCTATCCGGATCGCCGGAACTGATGATGAAGACGTGGTCCGAGCATGGGAAGTTGTTGAGGTGTGGAAGAAGCGGGTCACGGCGTGCCAGAGACAGGGACAAGATGAACTGAGAGATCGCCTTCAGGAAGCTAAATTCATTTTAGACCGAAAGCTATGGCACGTCGGCAAGACCAGCTCATGTTATCATGAGGCAGGATGTGGACACCTCGCGAACAGCGCGAGCATCCGGTCATTGAAGCCATGTGCACACTGCATACCAGAAGCCATGGGGACGGTGTTGAATCTCAGTCAAAGTGCACTAGACTAATGGCATGCTGGTATGCATAGATCACGCTATGTACTTGAGACCCAAAGTCGAGGTGTAAAACCGGAGCACCCCGCGTTTCAAAAACACAATAAAACACATCATTTCTTGGATCCCTCGCGGTGCCTGGCAGGTGGTGTTGGCATTTCACCTTTTATCGACCTGCTTGCTGGGCCAATCGACAGCCGTCGAATAAAGTTGGTGTGGGCGGTTCGTGGTGATGAGTATCAAGCACTTGCTGCAGCCATCGATTTGCTTAGGATGATTGTTTATTAACCCACCATTTGTGGATGATTTTGTTGATGATCCCATTGATGAATTCACCATTTTTGTGATGATTTTGTTGTTGATCCCTAATAATCTTTTTTGGATGATTTATTGTATTTTTCCCAGATACCTTAAGCGCAGCATGGCGCAGGGCGCATCTGCGCGCATCCAAGGCAGCCATCGATTTTCAGTTCCTTCGCCAGAGAGCTGAGATCTGCGTCTTCATCACATCGCAGCCTCTTTCTGACGATGTTCCCACCCTGGAGACGAAGATCGGATCGGGCTTCGGTGGTGAAGAAGCCTGGCTTAAGGCTTAGGTGATGAACCTTCCTGAAGGGGTACCAAATCCAATGGGTTTGAACACATGGGATAATGATTGTCAGGATTTCATGGGTATACAGTATATAGCAACTACTATAAACCATTTGGTTGGTGGTTTGAAACATGTTTGATTTTCCAATAGATTGGGGAGGAGGATACAATCTGACGTTCATATTTTTCAGGAGGGGATGAAACCACAAGTTAGCTTCTTTTCAATCTTTCCGAGAATCTCCACTGTGACTGGGGAAGATGTTGAAGTATTTTCAGGGGTCGAAGAAGCAAATCTAAGGAAACACCAGAAACAGCTGGGCCTTTCCCGATTTTTGTGCTATTTGCTTTGATCTTGGCATCGGCAACAGCAACAGATTATGCTGCACACTACTGGGATAGCATTTTCTTCGCGCAGGTGGACTCTTTGATGGAGTGGGCGCTGCTCATGCGAGTAATGCCCATTCTCCTGGTGGCCGTGGGAGTTGTAGTCGTGAGCACTGGATTGCAGTTGATTCCAAGATGTGCACGATACTTCTTTCGTGAAAGAGCCACCAACCTTGACTCGCGGCAGCTGGTTGAAGATGCAAGGGAAATCCCGAGATCACAAGTCCACATCCAACATGGAAAGGCTGGGTGGTTTGATCATTACCCTCTGGAAACTAAGACTATGCGTTTGCTCCTGAAAATGGGTATGGGAACCATAGGAACATCATCTTGAAACCCACCAGGCTTTTCAGGGTCAGTTTCTGTGATTTTTAGGGATGGCACTGGCAACCCCTATCCAATCATATCCAGAAAAAATCAGGTTTCAGAGAATTTTAGTTCAACCAAGCACCAACCAGAAAGGTCAACCTACGCAATCTGGTTCAGCAAGAAGCCCAACTTGGCCTCCTTGAGTTGAAAGCCTGCGGTCCCGAGCGCATGTTGTCGGAGCTGACCTCGATCACACGATGGCTGACCAGTGAAAACTACCAGGTGATTTTGGAGAATTTGGAGGCTGAACTATGACTTAAGGGACCTGAGTAGTTTGAGTGATTTCCTGAAGGTGTGATTCAAATTTGGGAATTAAATGGGGATCTCCTCCAGCTTATACCAGTTTTGACAAGGAGATTGCTCCAGCCTTCATCACATGCATGGCACTGCAACCAGGCAAGTTTGGTCCACTAGGTCACCTGGCAACCAAGTAGGACCCGTTGAGTCTTGCCTGTCACGTTGTGGTCAATTTTATAAGCCTCACAGAGAGATGGAGGCAATTTTGGTGCTGACTTCCAGCAGACTTGTAAGCCCGTCTTGTACAGCTTGGAAATCTTGACCAGGTCTGCACCTTCTGGAGGGGTGTTTTTAGCTGAGCTGGGTTTGGACGCTACTAGTAACAAGTGCCACGCTAGTAGTAACAAGTGCCTTACTAGTAGTAACAAGAAGAATTTAATGATTCTTACTGGTGCACCTTCTGGAGGGGTGTTTTTAGCTGAGCTGGGTTTTGCCCACCGCCCAGGGTGGCAATTTCTGGCAGAAAAGGCCACGAGCGACAGACGGAAAGGACGGTTGGGCCTGGCCTGGGCCGGTGCTGTGGGAAGTTCTGGGAGAAGCCATCCGAGGCCCCGGGTTTCTGGAAGTTGGCCAACTTGAGGATTTTGAAGTGGTCTGTTTTGAGAAATACCATTTGGGGCCAAGGCTGGTTTCATAGGATCGATCATTGCCTCCAGATCTCTGTTGGCGACGCCCACTAGGGGCAAGAAGGGTTGGAGAAAAGGAACCCATAGGCACTGATCTTGCGTCAGCACATCCCGCGCACCCCAATGGGCCTCAGAGCCGACCACAAGTGGCGGACTCCGGCGGACTCTGCAAAACCTTGCATTCTCATAGTGCCTTCTGTTTGAAACTGTCCGAAGGCTATCTGTTTGAACTAGAGCTTTGAGCCTGTATATAGACCTCCTTTGGAACTCAATACGTCTAAACCTCTAGACCACCTGCTTCTACACCTCTAGACCATAGACCTCTAGACCTCAAGACACGGTTTGGGTCTGTTTGGGGCCTGCCGGGATAGCTTGCGGGCTTATTTGTGTTTTGCACTGCACCATGTTTACTTTTGATGTTCGAATTGCTGTAGCTTATATAGAAAGTTTTCTGTGGCTTGGCACATTGATGGTTCAACATGTGTCTCGGCTTAAGGTTTGTTCTCGGCTCAAGGTTTGCTTTGCTTTGTTCAGCTTTGGGTTCGCAAATTGCTAGCAGCAATTGGCTTGATTCGCCTGCTTCAAACGTGTCCAGACTCATTCCTTAGTGGTTCGGTCATCTGGTCATCTGGTCGTTTGGTCGGTTGGTGCACAAAAAGCAGACGTTTCTCAACGGCACTCGCTGTTGATGCGAGCGGGCCGACGGCGTGAGCTTCAAGGTTCGGCCCTCGAGCGAGTTTGCACCACATGTTTCGCCAGAATAGATCGATTCGTGAATCCTCTCCAAACATGTATAGCAAGGTGTTCTCTGCCTGATTGAGAACCACTAGAAAGTCACTAGAATATGTGGAGTAACATCTATCTATATATAACTTTTCTGGATGTAAACAATTGGTGACAACCTTTGATTTAGCAGGTGCAATTCGTTTTTTTGACTTTCATAAACACCGCTTTTGGCCTTTGGTGCCTGCTTCGCTGTCGCGTGCTGAGATGGGCTCCACCTGCTCAAGCTCGCAGCAAGGGTCTTCAGAACGGATGACAGGGTCCAGGGTCGGGGGTGTAAATGTTCATTTTTGATTCAACTTTCACGGCTCAATATGGCTGAAACCTTGTGCCACTATGCACAAAGCATGGCCTTAGAGTCATAGAGAACTTCAGCAATAGAGTATATATAAACTGTATTGTTTTCGGATATGTGGAGGTTTCCTTGGAACTGAGACTCGTGCTGCCTATCCTATGAGAATTGTTGTGTATATGGATTGACTAGCAGACCACACCAGACCAGAGGGAAAGCAGGTGAGGATCGGCAGAAGCCATGGGAAGGTTTGTGATCTTCATGACAAGAAACTCTGCGTACCAGCCGACAGTCCCTTGACCCTCGACACTGGGGGGCAAAGAGGTGCCAGGCGTAAGCTACTATATAGATTCAATAGGATTGTTGAATAGCGTCCAATGTCCAAGTTCAATAAGTCTTCAATAGAAAAGTTTTCACAACTTCTGGAGTCTGATCGAGCAACGACCTGACCACCGATCCCAGGAAGTACCAGCCCATGCACCTGGCTGCTGTGCCGCTTGTCATGTGTCTGGCCACGTCGGGTGATACGTTCGGTCCAGGCTTAGGCGAAGACCCACAATGCTGACCATATGGAAGACCAATGCTGAACTGATGGTGAGGAACCCCCAAACCCTCTCAGGATTTCCGTCTTGATAGGGGCACACTTCCACTGGAAGAGTCCACCCAAGACCAGTCTCCTTTTCGTTCAACAGTGGAATTCTTGCACATGAGGTCATCCACCAACGTTTGGCAGCCTTCTAATGGTTCCAGAAGTGTGCAGCAGCTGGAGGAGAAACGAAAGAGCTGTCATGCCTATCGAAGCCTCTCGAGTCTTGTTGCAAGCTTTTCCAAAGGCAGGAGAATGGGAAAGTGAGGCCTTTCTCTACTGTTCGACGTTGCTCTAAGTAAGTCCGAAGTATCTTGCAATCCACGCCGTTTCCTGTGGATTGCCTGCGGACGTAAGCAGCTAAGCACAAGCCTGAAAAGTCCAAAGCGCCTTGATCCCAAGTGCTGACATGCCTTTGGAGACCTTTTCCAAGATTTCTGGGTATGGCGGTGCGGACTGTCGTGGCAAGGAAAACCATCGACCTCAGAAGACTAGCTGTGTCATTGAATCATTCATTGAATTAGCTTTGTTTCTTGGTTTTGACATGTTTTGACCAAAGGATTCATGAATGCCAGCCGAATAACCATGAACGACAGAGCCAGCCTGGCAGCTGCTTCGCCAAGCTCACTGGACATGACACAAATGCTTCTGCAGGGTCTCGAAGTTGCGGATGTGAGCGGAGTCCCGCCCCTCCCCTCCCTCTGCTAGGGTGGCATGTGCATTCAAGAGCTTCATGGAAAAGGTGTCCTTTAAAGTGAAGTGAACTTCCAAGTAGCTGACGACTTTGCTTTGCTTTAAAAGCTATGAGGAAGTCCAGGAAAAGGGTTGGATCCAGCATCCAAACGCCTCCAATAACCAGGTCTGATTGATGCAAGGACATCCGAATGTACAAACACCCCAATTTGGGGACAGGTTGTAGAATTGGTGTTCCAAAGATGTTTAACAACCTGTCTTTGCTGCCTTGGCCCTCTAAGACTCTGAGCCGATTTTGCCGTCCGCGCAGGACAGCATGCTTTGGCACGCATTGTTGGTCTGGGTCGAGCCCCCAAGTTGGTACGGTGAAGGGGATGGGAGTCTTGCCTTGTCGTGGAAGATGCAAGGTCAGGGATTTTTTTTTTTTAATCAGTCACTTTTGGTCTGTCTTTTGTGGCTTGAGAGCCACATCGGATGGGTCCATGGATGGCAGAATGATTTCGAAGATTCTAGGATGCTGACGCTATAGACTCGCTTGACAAGTCCAATCATGCCTGAGGTCAGGTTGGTGAATACTGCTCTGTCTTGTGGGGCGGGGACAGGTATTGCTAGGTGAACTGAAATTTGGACAATCCTGAAAGATGCTTATGTCACCTCACATGGTCGAATTTCCTCCCTCAAAGTTGACTATTTTTTTTTTTTGAAAGACAGTCATAATTGACCTTCCCACATTGGCCACGCAAAATGGACTTCTTAATTCGACTGCGGCTGATCCACATCTGACCCGGTAAGAAGAAAAACACATTCTTCTTCCTGAAGTGTATACATATATATATATATGTATACTGTATATAGCTAGAAGAGAATTTTTCCATCTTTCGTTAGATACCCTCCAGCATAGCCATTTGCATCTTAAGATAATATGTTTATGTCATTTGCATAAAACCCAGCCCTTAGAAATTGATGTGGTTAAAGCTTTCCGTACTTCTGCCTTTACTAGAATTGATAGAGTGCCTGTTTCTATTCACGAAAGCTAGCGAAGCTAGCTGGAGTTACTCTTGCGATAGCAAGGTTTCTTTCGACCGGGTGCAAATCCTAACCCCTGATTTTTCTCCCCTCTCCCCTCTCCCCTCTCCCCTCTCCCCACCCCACCTCCCCTCTCCTCCTCCTTGTCTTCCTCCCACCTTCCCTCCCTCCTCCCTCTTCGCAAGTTCGACTCCGTCCTGTCGTCGCTCTTTGGCATGCGGTTAGCGTTGCGTATCTTGCGGCCGCACTCGCTCACTCTCACTGTCTCACTGTCTCACTGTCTCACTGTCTCACTGTCTCACTGTCTC